AGATATACTTTCTCTTTTTTTTTTTTAAAGAATTTCTCAACATTTGCAGTATATTCGTGGTGATACAATATCAAAGATTGGGTTACATACAGAAAAAGAACTTTGGGATAAGTGTTGTTAAAGCCCTGTAAAGAGATTTTCCCTAAAAATATTAATATAACCTTTTCTGAAATTAGGGCATGAGTCAGACACCTTGTCAGTCTTCTCCAATCCTTGATTTTATGATTCACTCCCATAGGGTATATAAAGTACTTCCCCAAATCATTTAAAATCTACCTTAACAGCTACAATAATTGAAAAGGCCAATCCCCTAAGGAATTTTAAAAATAAAATTGGTAAAGATGTGAATGAATTCTGGTAATAAACTACCAATGGCACATCCTGAATCACACCCTGATTAGCCCCTATCACCTCTGCAGCTCTTCTTCTGATCTCCGTCATCCAAGTAAAACAGCCATAGAGGGATTCTTTTCTGAAAGGAGACTTTACTTTAGAAGGAGCAATGCAGCTGGGCACAGGGGTTCGCCCCTGTAATCCCAGCACTTTTGGAAGCCAAGACAGGCAGATCACCTGAGGTCGGGAGTTCACAACCAGCCTGGCCAACATGGCAAAACCCCATCTGTACTAAAAATACAAAAATTAGCCGGGCGTGGTGGTGCACACCTGTAATCCCAGATACTTGGGAGGCTGAGGCAGGAGAATCACTTGAACCTGGGAGGCAGAGGTTGCAGTGACGCGAGATCACACTATGCACTCCAGCCTGGATGATAGCACAAGACTTCATCTCAAAAAAAAGAAGAAGCAACACAATTTTTGTATTAATTTTCTAAATCCTTTTTGTTCATTCATTTAGGAAACATTCCTTGACCACCTGCTGTATTAGGCAAAGTGGACATAACAAACAACCCCAAAACTTCAGTGCCTTAAAGTAATATACATGTGTTTTTTACTCTTGTCGCAGTGTAATGCAAATCATTAGGAAAGCACTGCTCCTTGCAGAATTTAGAGATACAGATTCCTTTAACCTTGTGGTTTGCCCTTTCTGAGTCCTTGATTCAACCAGTAGTTGGGGAAAGAGTGAGGATTACATGAGGTTTTTTTTTAAATAGGCCAGCTGTGGAAACATTATACACATCACTTAGGCTCACATTCCATTAGCCTGAACTCAGGTAAACAGCCACACTTAAGTGCCAGGGAGACTAGAAAATGTAATATGAATAAAGATACATGAAGTAAACACTGACAGTTTCTGTCACAACTACTATGTGCCCTGCTCTCAAGGAGACACGTATATGTCCTTTAGTGAAGAGAATAAAGTACCGTACATCCCGTAAAGTAGGTATTAAAGTACCTACGGAAAAAAGAAGAAGCAGTTATATCCACTTAGGGACAAAGGGTGTTGATTGGGGAAGGCTTCACAGAAGAGAGTGATATATGAAGTAAAACTTCCTGGTAGGATTTTTTCAGCAAGAAAGTGAGAATGGGCACCCCAGCAGTAACAGAGCTTTCTGCTCTTGTGTCAGTTTGCTGAGAATGATGGTTTCCAGATTCATCCAAGTCCCTACAAAGGACATGAACTCATCGTTTTTTATGGCTGTGTAGTATTCCATAATGTATATGTACCACATTTTCTTTGTCTAGTCTATCATTGATGGGCATTTGGGTTGGTTAGAGGTCTTTGCTATTGTACATAGGGCTGCAATGAACATACGTGTGCATATGTCTTTATAGTAGAATGATTTATAGTTCTTTGGGTATATACCCAGTAATTGGATTGCTGGGTCAAATGGAATTTCTACTTCTAGATCCTTGAGAAATCGCCACACTGTTTTGTTTTGTTTTTTTTATAGACTGTAACAGGATAAAACTGAGATAACCTAGATTTGGCTCTTAGAGACTTTGGAGCGACCATTGAAAATGCTGTGGGGGCAAAAGCTGGTGGGAACAAGAAAAGGCAGTAGCTGGCTTAAAAGAGGAGTAAATGTTTTACAGGATTTGTGAGACTTTAATATATTTATAGTCTGCGGGTAGGGAAGAGAGAGTTTGAACCTTTAGAAGCACACAGAATCCTGAAGGATATGAAGAGGAGTATGTTCTGAAGTGCAAATGGATGGGTTTACTTTCTGAAACAAGCCAAAGAAGTAAGGATTGATGAACATAAAAGTTTGGAGTCACATGGAACTGAGTCTGAGAAAATATAAGGAGTCCGGGGAGCTGGTATGGGGTTATTGCCATTTGTAGTGAAGACAGCATGATAAGTTGTAGGAAATGAGCATGGACACTAACTATGGCTACTGACTAAAGAGGAGCAATATAGAAACATCCATGTTAATTTCTAAAGTATTGGGTTTTTTGGTAGAACCATTAAGTAGCATTTATACACTGTTTTGTAGGGAGCCTCTGCAGCAAAAATAGAAAAAAAAAAAAAAAAAGGTCAAATGTGTTATAGGTTGGTGCAAAAGTAATTGCGGTTTTTGCTATTTTTTTAATGGCAAAAACT